AATACACTTACAAATTATGTCAAAACTTTCCTCATATTCTTTCATTTTTTCTTTAAAACAACACACTATTTAATACCCAACTTCACCAACGGCACGTGCATCGCACGTGTGTCAAACTAGTTCAATTTAAAAGAGTGTATAAAAGAGTAGATACTTTAATTTCGCTCACAACCAAGGACGGATCCAGTCACTCAAGTGAACTAGAGTGTAGCGTCGAGTATTCATCAAACGATGGCCCAATATAGCGAGATTGTGTTATTAATACTTAATTAATTTATATTAAAAGATTTTTCGATCAATACATAAATGCTCCAAAACAAAAAAATTCATTTACTTATAAAAATATAATTCAATACAATCTAAAATAATAAAGAATAAAAATACATTTTTTGAATCATATACGTATGATCAAGTTTCAATTTTTTATGAACTTAAGCGAGACAATATGAAGTTTATATGTAAAGTAATGATTGATCGACAAAGACAAAAAAATTTTAAACTTGTGAATTTTAGAGTTATTTTTTACCCCAAAAAGAAAAAGTATGTTTCGAACTCTTAAAAAAATAAAGATCGGTACTTAAATTTTTCTAATTTGAATTTTACAATATTAATCGATAAAATCTAACAATAAAGTGTATACATATTATGAAATAATAATTTGAGTCAACAAATTTTTTTTAAAGAAATTATTTTAGAAACAAAAACTAGCAATATATAATTGTTTAGTTATTCTTTGGGTAATTGGTACAAAACGTCCCTACCTTTGACATATATTGTGGAAATCGTCCATACCTTTCATTTCTTGGCATTTATGCTCTTACCTTTAACGTTTCGTACGCCGAACGTCCTTTTCACCATGTTTTGACAATTTTACCCTCCTAAAAAGAAAAATAAAGAACACATTGCAATTATGTGTCCAACCTTTTTAAAAGGTGCAAACGAGTCCAAATTTGAAAAAACCATCACCCCTAAGCTGCCACCTTTGAAGCCAAAAATCCCCAACAAATGAGTCCAAATTTGAAAAAACCATTACCCCTAAGCCACCACATTTGAAGTCAAAAATCCCCAGCCAACTACAGTCCAAACCACCGGACCTCCATACCATCGGAAGGCCCTCACTCCCCTCTACACATACCACCCAACATCCAACCTTCATGCCATTAGATCTGGTAAAATTTGCAAGCCAAAATATCCTACTCGAGAATGCAAAAACTGTCGGCACCACCTATTCCGGCGATACCCAAGCCATTCCCAACATTCAATCGATTCTACATACCATTACGTCCATGGTCCTCAAACGTCCTTTAATGCACACAATCAAACCTAACAGGCTGCAGCTTCGAACATAGCGTCTATGCAGCTTTCAAGAGCTTTTTCTTGCACCGGTGATGGGACCCATGATCGCGGACCACCACCTTCGGTTCCTACTCTTCATGGCGCATCCAATAAGCATATGAGTCTTTCCCAATTTCGCCTGGACCAGCATAAAATTCAAGGTGTAACAACTCTAGGTAGGGAATCAATTGCTGCAACTCACCACTCAAACGAAGCAATTTTGGATTTGACTTAAAATACTTCCCACTCGGCCGAGGAGAATTTCTATTGATTTTGCCCATATAATTTGTTGTTTGATGGATTTGTTTATGGGTATGTGTAGAGGGGAGTGAGGGCTTTCCGATGGTATGGAAATCTGGTGGTTTGGGCAGTTGTTGGTTGGGGATTTTTGGCTTCAAGGTGATGGTTTTTTCAAATTTGGACTCATTTGCACCTTTTAAAAAGTTTGGACACATAATTGCAATGTGGTCTTTATTTTTCGTTTCTTTTGCTTTTGTTATATTTGATTAGGAGGGTAAAATTGTCAAAACATGGTGAAAAGGACCTTCGACGCATGAAACGTTGAAGGTAAGTACATAAATGCCAAGAAATGAAAAGTATGTACGATTTCCATAATACATGTCAAAGGTATGGACATTTTATGCCAATTATCCTTATTCTTTATTGTGTTAAAAGATTAAAAGAAGAAGGGTAGGTGAGAGGAATCGAACCCCATACCTCTTACACGGAAAGGATGGAAGAGGAAAGAAAGGACTTTCCATATAAGATGCAAGACTCCTGTCAACGTTAGTGAAAACGAAATAATACAGAATTATTTAATTATTATTTATTGCATTTAAAAAATTAAAAGAAATAGAGGTAAGGGGAATCAAACCAAGTGCCTCTCACATGCAAAACCAACACTCATGAGCAACAATCACATTTGTTGAAGGCTTGTATAGTTCTACATATTTAACATAAAAGCTTCATTAACATGTAATTTTTTTTTTCGATGAAGCCAACACCTGTAGCCACGCCGACTCTTCAGGTGCTGACTCCGTCCCTACTCGCAACATGATCGATTGCGGTAATCACTTTAAGTCAAAAGTATGAAGAATCGATATGTAAGTGCCATGGGTGACCCACCAAGTCTTTGGGCCCAATTGGTAATAAGTGTGGATAGAATTAAGAGGAAATTACACCCAAACCTGTTTTTAAAGATGACAATTCAAAAATAAGATGTAAAGTTTATTTTATCAAAAATCAGGCAATAATTTAATTATTAAATATTAATAATGATATTATAATATTAAATTTAATTTAATAAAATATTAAATTAATATATACACCCACCCACTCCACCCATCTATCCCAACCCAATTTCACTCACAAACCTAATTCATTTCCCAACCTATTCCCTCTCTCTACCACAAACTTCGACACCACTGCAAGAGGATCGCCGCTGCTCTCTTGCAACGGCGTCGATTGTGTGGACCTCTAACCGTAGGTGCCTCTACTCAGGAATGCCACAGCCGTGAGGACCTCTGCCCCCAAGTGCGTCGCGCAACCTCTACCTAGTCCATTAGATCTCGTTTTGGATTGGATCATGTGTGCAGTCGATTGGATCTCGTTTTGGATTTATGCGATGATGTCGATGTCGCTGCTACTACAGTTGATGCACTCAGATTTTGGATCAGGTTATGCAATGATTTTGTTGACAGTGTTTGTAGTTGGTAGTGGTGATGGGTGATGTAGATATGGTGGTAATGTTGGCTGTGTTCTGGTTTTAGATCTAATTTTGGGCTATGGTTCGGGATATGGGTGAGGAAATGGAGGAGGCAGAGGTAGTGTGATGTTGGTGGTGGTCGTGGCGGTAATTAATAAATTTGGATCTGATTTTTTGGTTGTGTTTGGGTGGCTGATAGTGGTGGGTTGTTAGGGTTATGTCTGTATCTATGTTGCTGGGTCATGGCGATGGTGCGATGATTGGCAGTTGGGTATGGTGTTGCGGTGGTGGTGTTGCAAAAATGGTGGCGACGGCGGCGATGGCAGGGGTTGTTGTGATGATTTTTGGTGGAAGTGTATTAGATCTAGTGGTGGTGGTGCTGTAGTAATAGCTACGGTGTAATAATGTCTGTGACTAATTATTTGGTTGATTTGTGATCAAGTATTGGCTGTGAATTGGCATTGGTGGTGACATTGGTGCTGGGAGGTTGTGGTGTTAGTTTGTTTGAGATAGTGACGTTGCTATTGGACGACGACGATGGTAGTAGTGGTGGTGGTGCTACTAGAGATAGTGGCGATGTGATTGTTGTAAGCGTTGGTGGTGGTCACAAATTATTTGGTTGATTGTGATCAATTATTTGAGATTGTGACCAATAAATAATATATGACCTAAAAATTTGAATTTTGACTTTAACATTTGTGACCCATAAATTGATATTGTGACCAATAAATTGTATATTTTGTGACCAATAAATAATATGTGACCTAAAAAATAATATGTAACTTATTAATTTGATAGATTTGTGATCGATAAATAATTTGTGACTTTTAAATTTTTAATTTGTGACAAATGAACAAATTGTGACCTATAAATTTTTTGAATTGTGATCGTAAAATAATTTGTGACATAAAAATTCTGATTTGTGACCGAAAAATAATATTTGACTAATTAAATGGTTAATTTGTGATCAAATTGTANTGTGATCAAATTGCATAGATTTGTGACATTTATATATTTATTAATAAAATATATAATTAATTAATTAAATTATAAATAAATTTTAATGAAAACCTGATTTTTGAAATTTAAAACCTCTATCCTTAATTTTGAAATTGTGATATTTAAATACTTTATTTATATATTGTTCCCTAGAATTAATGTCATCAAAGTCGTCTTAGAATTTAGCAAACTTCATATTCAATGTATTGCAATCTTTATTTCACAAATATCTTTGGAAAAATTACTATTTCTTGAGAAACCTCTAAATCTTTACGTGGAGGAACACCAAAGGGCTCTTCATAGTAGTACAGAGACATTAAAAGAAAGAGTAATATTATTCATAATCAACGATTGT